CATCTCATTTATAATTGCACCAAAAAAGCATAAAATACATAGAAATAATTTTAACCAAAGAGATAAAAGACCTTTACTCTGAAAACTATAAAACATTGAAGAAAATACAAAATAAATAAAAGGCTATACCTTGCTCATGGATTGGAAGGATTAATATTGTCCAATTGTCCTTATTACCTAAAGCAATTACAGATTCAGTGCAATCCCTAACAAAATACAAATAGCATTCTTCTCATAATTAGAGCAACTAATCCTAAAGTTTATAGAGAACTACAAAATATTCCAATAACTTTTAGAAGAAACCATAGGCAGTAAACTCTTTGACATTGCTCTTAGTAATATCTTTTTGGTCTCATCAGGCCAGGGAAATAAAAGGAAAAATAAAAAAATGGGACTACAACAAACTAAATATTTTTTTGCACAGTGAAGTAAACCATCAACAAAACAAAAAGAAAACCTAATGAATAGAAGATATTTGCAAATGATACATCTTATAGGGGGTTAATATCTACACTATATAAGGAACTCATACAACTTAACACCAAAAATATAAATAATCCAATAAAAAAAATGTCAGAGAACCTGAACAAATATTTCTTGACAAAGGACATACAGTTGGCGAACAGACATATAGAAAGAGGCTCAACATCACTAATTATTGGGGAAATGCAAATTAAAATAATGAGATATCACCTCACACCTGTAAGAATGGCTATCATCAACAAATCAACAATAACAAGTGTTGGTGAGGATGTGCACTGTTGGTGGGACTGTAAATTGGTGAAGCTACTATAGAAACAGTATGGAGCTTCCTCAAAAAATTAAAAATAGAGCTGCCATACCATCCAGCAAATTCATTTGTGGGTATTTATCTGAGGAAAACAAAAACACTAATTCAGAAAGATATATGCACCTCTATGTTCATTGCAGCATTATCTCCAATAGCCAAAATGTAGAAGCAGCCCAAGTGCCAATCAATAAATGGATGATAAAGATGTGGTATATATAAATATACAATAATTTGTTATTCAGCAATGAAAAAGAAGGAAATCTTACCCTTTGTGACAGCATGGATGGACCTAGAAGGTATTAAGCTAAGGGAAATTAGTCAGACAAAGACAAACACCATATTATTTCACCTATTTGGAATCTAAAAACAAAACAGAGGAATAAACAACACAAAACAGAAACAGACCCTAAGATATAGAGAACAAGCTGATGGATGCCAGAGGGGAAAGGGGTGAAGGGAGAGGAATAAAAATTAAAAAGTAGTAAAGAAGACAAGATTAGGTTCTAGAACTAAACTTCTTTGTACATTATATACACACACGAATATACATACATACACATATATTTAAAATAATGTAATGTATGAGTCTTATTTGTATCCTGACTCAAAGAAATCAAATTAAAAGACATTAATGAGAAAAAGAAACCCAAAATACATTAATGATACAACTGGGGAAATTTGAGTAGTGTTGTGTATTTGATGATATTTAGGTGTTACATGTTATTTTTTTAATGCTTGGAATTGCCTGTGGCACTCAGTAAATGTTAATTTTCAATGTTTTCCACCAAAGTGCCCTGAATAGTAGAACATTTATGAGGCCTGGTGAATACCCCAAATTAGCCTCTATTTGCTTGAAATTTCTTTGAAGAATCCTATATAATAAAGAGGTGATATGCAAATTAACCCTCACACCCTCACAAGATGGCTGCCTACGACCAGGCTAGCACGGGGGTTAGTGAGGGATGACCAAATGACTGAAGAAGCAGGCTGCATGGGGTGACCAGGCCAGTGGCAGGGGGGGCCATGAGGTGCAACCAGCTGGTGGGGGGTGGGGGGACAGTTGGGGGTGACCAGGCCTCCAGTGGGGGCAGTTAGGAGCGATCAGGCCAGCAGGTAGAGGTGATTAGGGGTTATCAGGCTGGCGAGGGGGGGGCAGTTAGGGGGGATCAGGCAGGCCG